GGGCTACTCGCATCCCTTCCCATTAAATTGTGGCTGAATGTGAAGTCTGTCAACGAATCAAACCATGCAGACAAAAGCCCATGGGGCTACTCGCACCCCTTCCCATTCCCGATGGTCCCGGGGAGTCCATCTCCGTTGATTTCACTGACATGGGAAACGTAAGTAAGAACGGTTACTTACAAGTCATGGTGATTGTTGACCGATTCTCTAAGTTTCTCAATCTGATCTCTTTGCCGCCGCACAGCCCAACCGAATTAGTGATTCGTGAGTTCCAACAGAAGTACATTCTGCAGTTCGGGACCCCGAAGACTCTCGTAAGCGATCGGGACCCCCGCTTCATTAGTACTGAATGGAAGGACTTCACGTCTCATCTGGGGATCAGGCTGTGTATGACGTCTGGCCGACACCCTGAAGCCAACGGTTTGGCTGAAGAAATCGACCAGACTGTGTTCCAACTTCTCCGTGTTTTGATTATCCCGGATCAGGAAACATGGGATGAAGAGCTATATTCCGTTAGGGGGTTGTGAAACAACTCCATCCATCCCGCCACCGGCATGACACCTAACAGGCTGCATCTCGGTTGGCAGATCCGTAATCCGCTCTCCTACCTATTCCCTGAGCAGCCAGCTGGCTTAACACCCGGTAGGCCTGGCTTCAGCTCCAAGTATGATCGCTTTCTCAAGGTTGCCATTGCAGCCATAACCAAGCGACAGCATGCCATGATCCATCACGCAAGTAAGGGGCGCCGACCGTCGGACATTCAGGTAGGAAGCTATGTCGGGGTCAAGATGTCTGAATTCTCAGAAGAAGAAGGGGTCTCCCGCAAACTTCTCCCACTCTATTACGGACCGTGGGAAGTTTTGGATGTGATTGGCGAAGACCACTTTGGCCCTTCGTACGTAGTTGATGTGCCAGCCCATCTGCGCACATACCCCGTGTTCCATGCATCCAAACTGTACCTCCACCGTGATGCTAAGACATTCGATTATCGCGAAGATATGATCCCTAGCGCGATCAAAGGCGGGCATGAGATAGACCGAATTAAACAGCACGTAGGGAAGGGACGCAACAGACAGTACCAGGTTCACTTTATGTATCATCCGTTAGATAATCTGTACTGGATTTCCAAGCAAGAACTGCTACGCAGCGCACCGCGCGTTGTTAAAGCCTATGAGTGACAAATCGCCACTAACGCTACGCCTAAGATCTCTGCAAGGCTCACTGCGACAGAGTATTCTAGGAGTCTCTTTGCCTTGCTTGCCTGCGATGCGTTTGTCGAGGACTCAGAATGAGTTACTCGCTCGAAGGGACCTCGCTCTTGAGTGGGGAGTAGTGTGATGACCCGTCCAAACATGGACTGAAACACACAGCTGATTTCTGAGTTTTGCTCATAGACTGAATGCCTTGCTGAGTTTCCCGCCTGCTACTAAATCTGGGTGTGCACGCTTGCTGGACTGCATGTCTGTCTGAGTGCTGGTTGGCTTGAGTGTGTGTGTGACCCTGCCTGTCTGAGTGTTGGTTGGCTTGGGTGTGTGTGTGACCGTGCCTGTCTGAGGGCTGGTTGGCATGAGTATGTGTGTGGCCCGTCAGGGCACTTGCTCGTTCGTTGGGCCCTCAGGGCCGGTACTTACCTGTGGCCGTGACATTGAGG